GAACACCAGAGGCGTTACAAGTGCGTCACCGGCTTTTTGGGGATTAGGAGTTTGAGGATCGTTGGGGATTCAGGGATTGGGGAGATTGGGGAAGGGGAGGGTAATTGGGCCTCCGGTAACCTCACTCACACGACGAAACACAACGCAAGCGTTGCTTCACGTCGGTTTTCTGTGAGGCCGTGGTATCACTCCGATCGAGCCGGCCCATTCGTGCCGAAACATGACTCTCCCACACTTATTTTATTTTTATACCGCTTTGAGCAAGCGTGGTGATTAATGCTCAAAGTGGGCATTTATAGGCTGTTGATATGTATTTGTAGACAGTTTAAATTAATGTAGGTTGTACTTTTACAGGCCCTATACCTGCAGTACCTATCTGGTCTAGATAAATCTTGGAGATAGTATTTAACTGCGGTAAGAACGAGTTAATAGAAAACTAGTTATGTGTAACATAGTTAATAGTTGCAGAATCGAGCTACTAACTAGTTTCATGCTGCAACTTCACTTATACAGGTATTTTTCTTTTAGGACCACGAAATTTGGTCGACGTCAACGAGACAGATTTGATAAACTGCATCAAGATATAACTTTATTCGTAAACTGTAATAATCATAAATGCATCTTACTGATTTTTCTTTTGTCTTGTCCACAGATGTCCATGACATTCCATTATTGAATATTGAAGCAAAACTAGGAGGAACTGAACATTGAAGTGATATTCTGGAAGAATAACATCATCAAAGATTCCACCATGACGGAAGGCACCTACGAAAGGGTGTCTCCATTCTTGAGACAGGTTTGTTAAATACCTCAGTTTAAGAATTCTTTTCGCTATTTAAAAGAGAATCTTGTTAAAAAGGTCGATGAATTCCGAACAGGTACGAAGTTTTTGATTCGGTGCTTTTCGGTGTTCATATTAATACTTACATACATTTTTTCCAAATTTAGAACTTTGAAAAAAACGTGATGTTGAACTGGACCATATTAAAAAATGCATCCTTGCCTTGTTAGGCATTCTGTTTCAACTTTTATTGTTAAAAAAATATCACTTAGCGCAGAAAGTGCTAAAACTGGAATATATTTAAGTAGCAAAATTTTTCTGGCACATATCTCCGTTCTATGCCTTCATTGTCAGCCCGTTCCACTGCGATTTTGACAAAATACAAGATATAATAACTACCTAATAAGATTTACAAACGAAAAATATGTATTTTTTATTTTATTTCAATCTAATCTTGTTTGCGATTTCTGGCTGCCATTTGTTCTATAATGTTAATACTTAGCGTGACATTATAGTCTGAGTGCACGGCAGGTCACCTCTGCAGGTAAACAGGTTCCGTTCTCGGTGGTCACACATCCATCGGTATAGTTTCACTACAGCTACTACAGACAGACATAATTATGTACATACATATTATATGTAAGTAGATATGACCTCCAATTTTTGACGATACCTTGATTTGTTTAATAATAATATTGCGAAATCTCGATTGTTTTCTAAGATTGTCGTCATTAATTATAGGTTTTTTTATGGCTTAAGCCGATAAACGAGCAGACCGATCACCTGATGGTAAGCAATCGGCGTCGTCCATGGATACCTGGAACACCAGAGGCGTTACAAGTGCGTTACCGGCCTTTTGGGGATTAGGAGTTTGAGGATCGTTGGGGATTCAGGAATTGGGGAGATTGGGGAAGGGGAGGGTAATTGGGCCTCTGGTAACCTCACTCACACGACGAAACACAACGCAAGCGTTGCTTCGGTTGGTTTTCTGCTCGGCCGTGGTATCAGTCCGGTCGAGCCGGCCCATTCGTGCCGAAGCATGGCTCTCCCACATTTAAAAGGTTTTCATAAGATTACCTACAATATAACAGTTTCTGGTTACAAGTGTAACTGAAAATAAGTTAGAGGGTTCAATTCCATCTTTCTGAAAACATCATCTGAATTTTCTTAACTCAATGCGTTTGTCTAGTCTGTCGATGTAAATTCAGATTGTATTCTACGGCTTCAGTTCATAAAAAATCTCACTAAATGGTTGTTATAAAATCAAAATATATTTGACTATGCCCAATACAGAACAGTTGCGACGACATAAGGTCAATGACCAAGCTCAAAACTTGGTCAAAAACCTGCATCGTTTCAATTCTGTAGGTAACAAGTTTGACAGCGCACAAAAAATTATATTTTATTACTTGGAATTATGAGCGCTCATCAAGTTGTGTTAGACATACATATGTATTTGACATGTTCATAGACACGTATTTTAATAATATAGAATAAATTGTTGTAGGTATGCAGAGTGTTACATAGATCTATACTAGCTGAATAATTATGAGTGCTAATTAATTCAATGAGTATGATTTACAGAGTTTCCGCCTGCAGTATCAGTTTTATATTTCTTTCGAGTAGGTTTCTATACTAGAAGAAAATTGAGACAAAAGTTCACAAGAACTTCAAAGTAATAACCGGTAAAACACACGTTTTGACTAAAGTGTAAAGATTATACACTCAGGGCTTGTAAACTCAAGGTGTATGGGTGGAGTTAGGAACAAGAAATCTGCTAATATTTTGACAATGTCTTGGCCATATTTTCAATGAAAATGTTTTAGTGCGAGATAACTATTTACTAAAAATTGTTGTTTAATTAATTTTAACGATAATTCCAAGTACCTTTGTTGCACGGTTGGCGCGGTGGCTGGGCAACTGGCTGCCGCGCAACGTGTCGCGGGTTCGATTCCCGCACGGAACAACTCTTTGTGTGATCCACAGATTGTTGTTCCTGGTCTGGGGGTTATGTATATGTGATTGTATGTTTGTAAACGCACCCACGACACAGGAGAAAATCCTAGTGTAATGCGACGTTTAAAAAAAAACCTTATTTTCATTTATACTGGTCTTATAATAGCTACTATTTACCTCTATTACAATAAAAGTTAAATAGCAACATATTTTTGGTAATAACAGAGTAGTGGCTCGAACCCATCTGATTGACGTAGACAATCTCTAATTTTGCATGTGCGTCATTTTTGCGTGTTCTCCGTACGAAGCTCATTTCTTTTTTATTACTGTCATTATGTGATTAACTAATTTTACCACTCTATTCCACCATAAACTTCTATTTTGTATTTGTCCTATGGTCCTAACGTTATTTTAGGTAGCAATTTGCTACAGAAATAGAAGTAATATTAAAAATACTTATGAATGTACTTAGGAAACTAGACTGGACCTTCTATCTAGAACTCATTTAAATGAAAATAAAGCTCTTGAAGATTGCAGATGTTAAGTTTCTAGGGTTATTGAATAATTATCGTAATGCTGAAGAAATTCTAAGGTGATACAAAAAGGAATACCTTAACTTTTAAAATCGCCAACGATACCAAGCGACTGTATCACAATTCAAACTTTATCTTCCAGCTACTAGCAGTGAGCGGAGTGGTGATGTACATGATCGGCACAGGGGCCAACATCGCCTTCCCAGGAGTGTTGCTGCAGCAGCTTCGGGAGCCAGGGTCGGCGCTGCGGCTTACTCCGGAACATGAGTCTTGGATAGGTATGTCATGTCAGCATATTGATACTTCTTTTTCAAGTGACCAGATACTTAATCAGCAATTAACGTCTATGGCTGCAGTCGTTCGGTCGGACCAATCAAAGGGTCGGGTAAAATACAAGATTTAGGACCGATTTTTCAATCATCAGTTAATGCTTACCGTTTTTAGAAGTGTCTGTTGAGAATTTTTGGAAGGATTGTCAAATATTCAAAGTTATTCCTCAATTAAAATTTACCTGGCGTTGGAAAAATCGGCCCTAAATAAGTCAAGTTAAAAGTTTCCTTTATTCATTTCTTAAATTGGCTTCAGATGGAAATATACTTCAGTTCAAAGTTCAAGTTCAGGACATATCGTGACAATAAGAAATTGTTTTTTTTTTCGCTTCCTACGCATTTACAGTTGGTGCCAGTCTACGCCATCACGCTATCTATACGAAATCTTTGTATTGCGACCGATATTTGATATAGGTCGTTATTCTGGATCATGATCGGTTTTTATTTCAACCGATAGTTAACAGATAACCTGTCGATATACGGACGGACACAGATCAATCTCTATTTGCCTGACGTCAAAACTAATGTGTCATCATCAATGGTTGGCTGGTAGAGAATGCCATTCGGTATTGAGTCCGCCATTGTATACATTTGTACATAAAGTGTTAAATAAAAAAAAAAGACTGCACGGTTGGTGCGGTGGCTGGACAACTGGCTGCTGCGGAACGTGTCGCGGGTTCGATTCCCACACGGAACAACTCTTTGTGTCATCCACAGATTGTTATTTCGGGTCTAGGGGTCATGTGTATGTGAACTTGTACGTTTTTAAAAGCATCCACGGTACAGGAGAAAAATAATAAGTTGTGGTTGGCGCCGGGAGCCCTAACCAGACTCTGCTGTATGTCAGTCCACTGTCAATTTGGGATAATTGGGAAAAGCGAGAAAGAAACCAGACTACGTTAATCTTAATAACTTTAGGTAATGCTCTTGTTAGTATTACTAGGTACTACGCAATTTATAAACAAGTAATGTACCAAGTAGTTTCCCTAGATAATTTAAGTAAGTAAGTGAGTTTGAAGTAAGCTGGCTTTACTACCAGTAATTTTTTTTTCTAGTACCAGATCAAAAAGCACAATAAACTTCATCGACTTCAAGTTTACATGTATAAAAAAGTTTCCTACAACACAACTTTACATGACTCTGCAGTTTTAATAAATTTTCACATATTTTGCCTAATCCAATTTATACAATTAGTTAGTCATCATTATCGACTATATAAATTCATATATCTATTTACTATTATCTCGCTAAGTGATGTGAGACACGATTTTATATAGGTGCTTTAAATTCAGCGATAACTTGATAACTAGGTGCTTATTGCGTCAAACTCGTGATCCATGACTATGTTAAACTTTTGGAATTAAACTAAACATATTTCCAGCCTTTATGCCCCTCATCATCATTGTATCTGCTACAAGATGGCCACTCCACTGTTGTACCTCAGTCTATTTTTACGATTTTCTGACTGGACGTTTGGAAGCGATTTGAATCCTGTGGCCTACAACCTTTATTAGGTCGTCTATCATTCATAATATTGTTTAAATAATTAAAATCGATAAACTAAGTAAAATTATTAAGTGTGGGAGTCTACACGAATGGACCGGCTCGACCGGAGTCACAGAAAACCGATGTGAAATCACACCTTGTGTTTCGTCATGTGAGTGAGGTTACAGGAGGCCCAATTACACCCCCCCCTCCCCAATCGTACCAAGCCCCGAATCCCTATTAATCCTCAAATTCCTAATCCCCAAGAGGCCGGCAACGCACTTGTAACACCTCTGGTGTTTCGGGTGTCCATGGCCGTGCCCGTGCCGCTTGCTTACCATCAGGCGTCTGCTCGTTTACCGGGTTATTCAATAAAAAAAAACCCTGAATGGATCCTAAAATTCTAAGTCGTCTTGTATGACAGTCGTACTTACACCTCGTAATCACTAAACCATTTTAACCAACGGCTCTTATTCCTCGGAAAATAAGCACAAATGGTACCTACTGTGGACCTGACAATCGAACCCGAACTCCTCTTATGATATTTTATACCACTCTTCAGAATCCTGTATTATTTCCGCACGTGACTTTAGCTACACTTTAACCCTATAAATATCACCCACGTGACTAACTGCGTATCTCTATGGTAAATTACTGTTATTATCTGAATGTATGGTAAAATTATCCTTGTACGAATGCGACATGCGTCAGACGTCCTTACAATTTTATTTAAATGTCACATCTTGATAAAAATGCCTTATCTTCTAACAGTGCGTTGAACCTTCTATTTATAAGCAACTAGTTATTACCCGCGGCTTCGCTCGCGTCACAAAAGGATAAAAATAGCCTATGTGACATATACCAATACACACAGCGCCATCTATACCATTTCTTTTGTTTTCCCTCGCGAATATCAAAATTTTCCGGGATAAAAAGTACCCTATTATTTAATCCAGACTTCTAACTTTACGTCTGCAAAAATTCAAAGCAATCGGATTCGTAGTTACGACGTGAAAGCGGAACAAACAAACAAACTCACTTTCTGATTTATAATATTAAGTAAGGACTAGCGACCTGTCCCGGCTTCGCACGGGTGCAATTTGCATGTATTATACATATAAACGTTCCTTAAAAATTACTTTATCCATTAAAAAAAAACTGCGTCAAAATACGTTGTGTAGTTTTAAAGATAAGCATACATACGGACAGACGGCGAATCGCGACTTTGTGTTATACTATGTAGTGAAGACAGAGTCTTTTTTTTGTTCACTCAGATGAACTTTAGCGGCATTCAAGTTTCACCTACGTCTGGTGGAAGGCACTGCTTCCGAAGCAGATATCATACACACGTCTGCATAGATGGCGCTAGTATGGTGAATTAAACTTCAGATCCTTTATTGTTGTATATTTCTTATCAGCCCCCGTCCTTTTTTGAAGTCGATTAATTAATAATACAACTAAACAGCGTCACCTAATGGTAACAAACACTTTTCTGAATACCGCATCAAAATCGGTTCATCCAATCGGAAGATAATCGCATACATACATGCCGGTCAAACTAAGATCTTCCTATTTTTAAAGTCGGTCAATAATTATTATGACAAGGTTAAAACTAATCTTTACACATCATTTTTTACCCAAATGATATATTGCTAAATACAAAGCATTTTTTTAAGGGGTGAAAGTCATCGAATGACTTCTCCCGCCTGGGTGAGGCAGCAGGGAGTGTCAGACTCTTACTGACTAAAATCCACCCTGTTCCTTCTCTTGCACCTCGAGCCGGAGCCCCGGTTACCCGTTAGGTTCTCCGCGACTCCGAATGCATCAGCCCTGTTGGGCCCCATTCGTGGTTGTCAGTAGACTTACTCTTGAATCCAATTCCGATCGATCGACATTGACATTGTGAAATTTCGTACTCTAGAATTTTAACACTAGCGCCCATTGCCTCCGTATTGCGTGGGTATTGAATGAACTAAATAGTATTCAGTTTGTTTTTATATTCTGTACTCTGAATACTATGACTACCTGATGGCTCTTTGAGGTGCGCGCGGAACGCGACGCGCCATACGCTCGGGTCTGGTTCTGGTCGGACGGCGACCCACCCATGCTCGCCGTCCGCAGACCCGCGAAATACAAAGCATAGGCATATTATATGCTGGTGTGGTGTCTTGCTGTTACAGAGATTTTAATAGACATACAGACAATTAACTTAGTAGTCAGTCACGTGAAATGAAACTCTATTTACCAATTAGTAAAGTTAAGAATGACTTGCAGTTAGATTTAACTTTATATTTCGATGCTGCTATCTGATTGTGTTCTGGCTGCCTGTCACTCAAACTGATTTGGTAGGATAATGATACAACATTCGTTAAATGTCAAGGTTTAATAAGGATAATAATATGTATGAGTAGTATTGAGTAGTGACAATAATTTATGTTCCAAATAGGACATTATCATAAAAACGTGGCCCCTCGTTAGGATTTTCTCCTGTATCGTGGGTGCGTTTACAACCATACAAGTTCACGTACACATCACACACAGACCCGGAACAACAATTTGTGGATCACACAAAGAGTTGCTCCGTGCGGGAATCGAACCTCGTTGCCTCAGCCTCCGCACCAACCGTGCCTCCATATTTAAATCTTCAAGAAAAAAGCGTACTCCTTTTTAAAAGGCCGGCAATGCACCTGTGGGTCCTCTGGTGTTGCGGGTGTCCATGGGCGGCGCTGATCGCTTACCATCTGCTCATTTGTCTCCTATTCCATAGAAAAGAAAATCCTACTAATAAAATAATAAATCGAAGTATACTAACTACTATAATGAAGTTGAAGAGTTTATTGTAGTCTTTGTTTGATTGCTTATCCGTAAAGTGTCTACCCTACTTACTGCTTTATTGGTCAAGTGTCCAGCTCTGATAAAACGTTTATAATGTTATTCCCCGGTATTGCCAATTTTCAAATTGTTTTAGTCATGAAAAACAAAAAAAAAACACATTGAGAAACATCTTAGGTACCTACTTACTGTAAAATTTCATCAAGATACATCAACAGCTTATAAATGCCCACTGCTGAGAAAACCCTCTTCTCACATGGAGAAGGTTAGAGCACTAATCACCACGCTTGCTCAATGCTAGTTGGCGATTTTAAACTTACAATTAGAAATTATAAACCCAGGTTTCCTCACGATGTTTTCCTTCACCGTTTGTCAGTGGTGTCTAAATAATCTTAGAAAGTACATACATATAACTCGGAATAAGTCACATTGGTATGTACTTGCCGTTGGTAGGTTACGAACCCGCACCCTCGTGCATGAAAAGCGGGCCTCAACCTTGGGGTCACAACGACATCGACCAAGATACGTTCCGTAGTTTTAGCGAACCGTATAACGAACCAACCACGAATTGGGAATTTTGCACGAATGGGCCGGCTCGACCGGAGTGATACCACGGCCTCACAGAAAACCGACGTGAAGCAACGCTTAAATTGTGTTTCGTCGTGTGAGTGAGGTTACCGGAGGCCCAATTCCCCCCCCCCCTTCCCCAATATCCCCAATTCCTGAATCCCCAACGATCCTAAAACTCCTAATCCCCATAACGCCGGTAACGCACTTGTAACGCCTCTGGTGTTCCAAGTGTCCATGAGCGATGCCGATTGCTTACCATCAGGTGATCCGTGTGATCGTTTACCGGCTTATGCGATAAAAAAAATTGACAAAGACAAATAGATTTGCTTATGCCAGAATACTGAAACGTTACTCTTAAATATCGTGCTATCTCTGTCATTTCACAAAGAATTAGTGGTAACAGAACCATATTTAAGCGTGACTTAAAATTGAGTAACGTTTCAGTATTCGGGCATTAATAAACTAAAAAAAATCATACACCACAGATAAAGTAATGACTACTTAGCGGTGAATGACATAAAACAGTGACGCGACGACCACCTCTGCCCTCTTAGCACAGATAACCAATATTTAGTTGACTTTTGGCTATTATAATTGCAATTAAATAATGATTACGAATCATGTGAGCAAAAACGTCAGATTTCAAAGTCCAAATCTCAGTAATTTGAAGTAAAAAGACTCAGGTTGCTTATGGGACGACGTGCTCCATCGTAGACCGCATCATCGCTTACCACCGGGCGAGATAGTGGACAAACGTCGGCCCAACAAATATAAAACAGAGAATTGGAGCAAACTTTGATTAAGTGCAGGTTTTATTAGCATCGCATTATTAACTTAGGAGCTTCCTAGCCGTAGCTAGCTTCGCCAAACTAACTATAAGTGAAAACTAACAAGTGTGCGAGTGTGATTTTTGAAGAAAATGTCTTCAAGAATCACACACACATAATTGTGACCGCATTTCGTTCAGTAGTTTTGAATCGGTCAGTTTGGACGCAAACAGACTGAGAGCCTTCCCTGTATGTTAAGATCATTTTACCTAGAATCAAATAAGTTCAAAACATCAAGCATAAGGCATACGCCATAGTTCAACTATGGCTTATGTATGGAGGACATGGAGGTTGATCTCCAATTACATCTAATTGCAGCCGGGGATGAATGCAATATTGCACTCACGAGTTCAGTTACGGCAGTCACGTCTCCGAGCTTTGCATTGCTGCACGTTATTATACAACGGTAAAGAAACCCATTTGTAGATAATAATGCAATTGTAATATACAATTATCTATTTGCTCATATTTGTATGTACATATTTATATGAGTGTCACTGAACTTCTATCGTAAACGGCTGGACTGGTAATGATGAAATGTGGTGGCATTGTCAGTGACTATTAATTAACAATTAACAATTTATATTCGTTCTTTCTTAACTCTGTTTTAAATGTGAAACCACGTTTTGCCTTAAAAGATCCATGTAAAACGTGTGAAAACACGATTGATCAACTTGAATATTCTTGCTTGGCAGTTGCGCTCTCACTCTTAAGCCGTATGTATGTCGCAGGGATATGATAAAAACAGAGATTTGGTCAATTCCCTAAGGGATTTGATCAAATCACGGAGGATGTTAAAATGACAACACTATTTTATCATTTCCCTGAACAAATCTAGGGATTTGATCAAATACCATAACTGGGTATGGCTGAGGTACCAGCTACAACTTGCTCTGAAGTCGAAGTGTTAGCTTCAATTGATTCAACCGCTAGTTGTTCCTCTGAAATTGTAGCGTGGTTGTCAATTAATTCAGTAGAAGATACGTTTTGCTGTTTAGGAAACTGATCCAAATCCTCTTCAGTAACTAACTTATCGAGTAATTCTGTCGATATATGAGTAGATAGGAGTCCTGTTTTTAGATCTGCTCCAAATAAGGCTTTGTAAGGTGAACGTTTAATAGTACGATGAAAGGAGGATTTTTTTGAAATTGAACAAAATAACAGCCGACGCAAGCAAAAACATGTTATTTTTATCATTTCACTGAACCAGTTATGGTATTTGATCAAATCCCTAGACTGTGCCCTAGATTTGTTCGGGGAAATGATAAAATAGTGTTGTCATTTTAACATCCTCCGTGATTTGATCAAATCCCTTAGGGAATTGACCAAATCTCTGTTTTTATCATATCCCTGCGACATGTATACTTTAATTTTATAGTAAAAAAAAGTTGTTCCATAAGTACTAGATATACCAATTATGAGTATCTATTCCATCTACTATAATAATATGCTTAATTAAATTATGTCCTGTTAGGATAAGATACGAGTCGATTAGCTAAACAAATAGAGAGGAAGGTCAAGTGTATAGCTAATATTAGGAATGTGCAAATATATTAACTTCTTTTATAAGCTTATTAATGCAGAATATTTGATATAATAAGTTCTATTCTAAGTAATACTCGAGTTTTATTTTGTGAAATATGTTTCGTCTTACAAGGGTTAGGTGGCTAGGGAATACTTTCAAAATGCGCTAAGATTTTTGAAAAACAGCTAGAGAGGATGGGTTACTTAGTGAGGCCACTATCGGGCCGCTAAAATCTCTCCACCACCATCAGTATGAAAGTGGTAATAGTGGGCAGTATACTGGACTAGGTTTTAAATTAGTAGGTGTAAAAATATCGAAAAACAATTCATAAGAACAATTTGTCTAACAAATCTAAATTATACTGTATCATTTGCCACTTTATTAACACACCCCTTCTCACTTCCAGCCTCGATCCTTGGTCTGGCGCTGATCGCCGGTATCGTGGTGGCGCCGTTCAGCCTGCAGAAGCTGGGCCGTAAGCTGACCAACCAACTCAGCTCTCTCCCGACCCTCGGAGGCTGGGCTCTCCTAGCCACGGCTAAAGGACCTGCAGCATTGCTCATCAGCAGATCTTTACTGGTAAGTCTCATGGATATTTTTTTCTGAAGACAAAGAGCGAACTTCATTTTAAAGGCCGACAACGTATCATGACTCCTCTGGTGTTGAGGATGTATGTTTAAGTTCCTCATACGGTATTTTCGAAGTGAACCACCTCCGTACCTTAAAAAAAGAGCAGTATCCCTTTTAAAAGAACAATGCATCTGAAACCTCCTTGGTGTTCCGGGTTTCACAGATAAAGTTAATCAGGTAACGGTAAGCGAAAGTGCTTACCGCCAAGCGAATCGCCTGCTCGTTTGAAAATACCATAAAAAATAATAATAGCAATTTGCAAATGTATCTTTAAAGCTATTTGCTCAATCAAAATGGAAGGTAACAAATAAATACGACTACGACCTCCATTGCTTTCAAATTCCAGTTATTATTTTCCTATCGGTCTACAATTTGTAGGTAAGAATAATTGTATCAATAAAATCAATTGCTACCAATATAAGTTATGAGCGGCTAATTGACCTGGTCAGTGTAAAGGGTATCAATTCGATGTCCATCGCAGTCACGTGTATCACTGGCCACTGATCAGATGTGATAGTCTTATGATATTCATAGTATAATTGATAATAGATTTTTATTCAAGGTTCGTAGCCAGAGAACACAATTAATAAACCTTTAACAGGTTGTAGAGACATAATACATGGTCATTAAATGTTCATGAGTCCACTATCGAATCCACGAATTTAATGCAAATGCCAATATTTCCAGGGTTTCGGCATGGGCGTCCAGGCAGCAGCTGCACCAGTTTCCATAGCTGAGTACTCTGCTCCCAAACATCGAGGTGCCTTCCTCGCCACCATCGCCTTCTCCTTCGCCACCGGAATGTTGATCGCCCACGTCTTCGGAACCTTACTGTACTGGAGATCAGCTGGCCTGGCTTGTGGAAGTGTCTACGTCCTATCTCTAATCCTGGTCACACTATCACCAGAAACACCTCCGTACCTAGCCTCCAAAGGTCTTGTAGAAGAGTGTAGGAAATCTTTTCATTGGTTCAGAGGATACGACCCTAGTGCAGAAAAGGAATTGGAGATTCTTCTGAATAGTCAGAAGAAACCAACAGGAACACGACGAGGGTCTAGATGGCAGGCATATAGACAGATAGTCAGGAAGCCCGAATTTTACAAACCAACAATCATCATGATGTTCATGTTCGTGCTGTTTCAAATATCTGGGATGACAGTAGTCCCGTCCTACACAGTCCCAATGATGAATGAAGTCAGTGGCGGTACCATTGATTCACATGTCAGCATGTTGATGGTGGATGTCGTCAGGTTTGTGACGGCCGTTCTCTCCTGCCTCGTCGTCAACAAGCTCAATAGAAGGACAGTCCTCTTTCTTGGAATTAACATCAGCGTGGTGTCCCTACTCATCACTGCCATCCTACTCTACCTCAGAGATTTCGGCTACATATCGAATGGTTACAAGTGGACCCCAGTTGTTCCTACCCTAATATACATTTTTGGAAAAACTTTAGGTATCCTACCAATACCCTGGGCTATCGCAGGGGAGATATTCCCTCTAGAATACAGGAGTTTGGGAAGTGGAATCTCAGGAATGTTCCTTTCCATTATGTTTTTCGTTGTGGTGAAAACGGCACCATTCTCCTTTGAACAGATTGGTGTCAGTGGCACTTTTTGTGTGTATGCAGTTTGCATTGCCATTTGTGGGATATTTTTATATTACTTACTGCCAGAAACTAAAGGAAAGACGTTGTATGAGATAGAGTGTCACTTCAAAGGTATTAAAGGTGAGATCGGGCAGAACGAGTCTCATGAAGGAGAGAAGATGTTGGAACTGAAGAATGTAGAATGTAGATGAAGAGGAATGAGGGATCACAGGATGTGCTTTACTGCTTCGGCGCAGTTGGAGGGAGGAATGACTTTATTTAACACGTTCAATGCTCCGGAGTTGCGCGTATCTTGTGTTGGTACCGTCCAGCTATTGTTTTCATCTGTCTATTGCGACAAACATGTGTGGAACTTGAAACAAAAAGGAAAATTGCATCAGGTTCCGCCATGGGAGGAGCTAGTCATGAGGAGCACTTCTAGAGCACTGAAGGTGTTAATACGTAGTTACGAGAAATATAAACAGATCGGAAAAGAAATTAGTTTTATTTACTTATCTGAGATTTGAACTTCACAATTTATAAATTAAGCACACTTAGTTACAATAACTACAATTAAATTACTAGAGAACCAAATAACAAACGCAATAATACACACAAACATACTACCAGATTTTTGCCACAAAATTGATTAAATTGTCTATCTAATTATAACTATCCCTTAAGTCCGAATATTTGTTAAATAGTTCAACACACGTTTTAGTACATTATGACTGAACTGACCCTTCTCATTGTTTCTCCATTCGGCTTGCCATTCTGCAGTGGCTCCAAACTCTTTCTGTCAGTGGTCTGTCCTCGGAAACTGTCTTCGATTTCTTGCAGAGTCTTGTCCTTCGTCTCGGGCAACATGAGCCAGACGACTGACATACACAACGCGACCACACCAGCGTACAGGTAGTACGTCCACGACAGGCCGATGGCGTTCGTCAACACGGGGAAACACTTCAGGGCCACGAAGAAATTGAGAGACAAACCAAGAATACTAATACCACTGCCTAAACCACGATATTCTAATGGGAAGATCTCCCCTGACACTGCAAACGGTATCGAAGATATACCCACAGTTAATGAAAACATGTAAATTCCTATTAAAGCTATTGGCAACCACTGGCCTTGTATCGGCAGCATGTCTTTCTCTTTTGCATAAACGTAAAATCCTTTCGCAACATATGAGAAAATGCATATCATGCCAGTACTGAACAGCAATGTTCGTCTCTTCATAGTCTTCATCAGGTAAATAGCAAGCAGGTTGCATATCAGTCTCTCAATATCTAAAGCTACCATGATTAGTTTAGCGTTGGCTTCAGGCCCCACCACTTGTCTGATGATGTCTGTCGCATATGAACTGATGACATTAATTCCAGCAAATTGGAACATTACATACAGGAACACCATTATAGTAATAGGTTTATAGAATTCTGGTTTCCTCATAGTCACTCCTAAATACCTGAAGTAGCGTTTTGTTCTTGCACCAAACGACAGACTCAAGTCAGTTACACTTGCTTTTTTCGCCATATTCTGAGCAGCTATCATCTTCTCTAGCTCATCCATTTGGGTATCACCGTCTCCACGGAGCCAAATGAAGACTCTCCTTGCCTCGTCTATCCTTCCTTTTGCAATGAGCCAGGACGGTGACTCAGGGTTATAAATGATGAGGCAGAGACTTGTAAACGTGATGAAGGAACATATTAGGGCGCTTTGTTGCCAACTAAAGTATGTACCCAATGAGTGACAAAATAATACTCCTATAGTTAGTGAGAGCGATACACAAGTGAGAAACGGTCCTCTGTTCACTGGGTCTGTCATTTCACCGATGATGATGGAGCCAAGCGGGCCCAGCATGCCCATTGCGACACCTTGGAGGAACCGGCTGGCGATGAGGCCGGCGACGTTCTGCACTAGGAGTAGCGTGAACCAGCCAGTCAGGACAGGGAAGATGGTCAGCAGATGAGACTTCTTTCTTCCGAGGATGTCCATGAGTGGAGTGATGATTATGTTGCCAGCGACTAACGCGAAACCGATGATTGACGCTGGAAAAAGGAAAATAATTTATTTTAGACGTGTTTCTTTTATTTTAGTTAGTAAGCTCTACGAACATGATTTACTAATCGAAACACGAGTAAGGTACGATACGAATCAACAGTGATAACGCTAAACACGCACAAATACACGTGTACATTTCATTTACGGCCTTAACAACAGAAGCTCTGTCGTTAAGGATACTCTTAAAGTCAGCAGTTTTGATCGAATAATTGGTAATATTATATATCCTTGATTCCTTACCTATCCATGACTCCTCGCTGGGTGTGGCGTGTATGTGAGACTCTGGGAGACGGAGACTGGGAATCAAGATGGCTGCGAAGCCGATGACACAGCCGTGAGCTATGATGTTTGTCGACACGCTCGCTGTCACGAACGCCTGGAACCATCAATATATCACACTTAGACTTTGAAATTAATATAGTTAGCATCGATCAGTTTCCATTCACTTCATTCATCATTCATTCATCCAGTTCAAAGCTAAACTCAGCAGTAGGTACTGTTGTCTAGGAGTGACGTGAGTGACATGTGAACGCAATAACACCTGCATCCTCTAAATTGACAAATGCGCCCTCTATGCGCGATACTATTAAAACTGTAAACAATTATCGAATGTGGACTTCAAACTTTGGCATTTTGCAATCACAAATCAAAGCATATCGTCTGCTACTGATAGTATACAGAGGTACCTTTCTTTGTGTAATTAAATTAAAACAACAAAAATACAGCAACCTTAACCGACTTTACAAAGGTAAAGTGCTATTCTTTTCCAAGTGCATATACATATATATATCGATAAGATAGAACTCGTTCGAGAGATTATTTATTAACTTTTTAAATACGTTATTAGATTATAAATTATGTTTTATTACAAAAGCGATGATTAAAATTGTAATTACCATCTTTTGATTAGATATGTAATCTGATTACTTGTTAATTAAAACGTAGGCTTCTATAATTGCGCACTGTTCAAGACCTAGGTCGTTGGGTAACATCTAGCCCACTTAGGAACGGTTGAAGTAAACGAGAGAAGATAGTTGGCTATTTTCGATAATTAAAAGGCTCTCTCTTAACATTTTTCCAGGTTACCACCTACCACGTACATTTCTGCACTACCTAAAGGATGACTGGCGGAGAATACTATGAGCATAAAGTCGTCTTTATGCAATTGTATGAAACTTAAATAAATAAAATGAAAGGATATATCCTTCAGGTGAGAATTGAAGTTATAAAACAGACAATAAGTCTAAATAATTTATTTCAATTAGACCAGAAAGGCATTTTTGAACGTCAACAAAAAAAAATTGAAGCCATTTGCTCATTCCAAGGTCCTATGGAGAAGAACGAGCAAGAAACTCCATGTAAGGCAAGGTACTCTTTATCAATCAATCATGTCCAGTGTAAAATGAAAGTCTGCCATGACAACTAAATAGCAAACTCGAACAACGTGCAAAATTACTAACTCACCAGATCGTTGACTACGATAAATGTTACAAATGACGCATTATCTACTGCCTTGGGATATAAGGATATAAATGATAACACCGTACTCTAGTGATAACATCTTATCATCACATCTATTAATTTTGATTCATGATAACACGCATTGGGACACAAAGTTAGATGTTAACCTGCTACTAATATATTGTTTATCTTGTGAATGTCACAGATTGACGGCCACATTATTTCTAATACGTAGCTATCACTTATCACTATCAGTAAATAAGTACGTCGATGGTCAAGTGATCGCAGGCGTGATTGGCGAGCAAATTATAACCGATTTGATCTCCGAATGGATCTATTAAGTGTACATTATTGAGCTTTTCAGCATTTTAAATATGCCATACCTAATCAGAGTTTAGGGTCAAGCATAGGACTCATGACATAGTTAAATACACAGTTCAATTGTATTTAAAATATAATTTCTTAAATGAATTTATAACAGTGTCTTTGAACTCCGTCTGTGATCGTATCTATCACTATAACAACATGCAACAAAATCGTTCCAGCCTTTCACACGTAAAAGTGCAGTAAACATACCTACTAACATTGGTATTTAATAGCTTAGATTAATTAGGATTAACAATATCTTTATTGTGTTTTCTACAAGTAGTCGTAAGTATTTAAATAACAAAAGTATTACCGACAAGGTGTTTCTGAGTAAATATATAATTACAATGCGTTCTAGCCACTAGCTTCTGCCCGCGACTTCGTACGCATAATCCTATTTTCTCCCGTTCCCATAGGATTTTCAGGATTTTTCTGTCTTAAAAACCTTTTCCTGACAATAGCAAAGACAACAAAAAAAATCAGCCAAATCGCTCAAGCCGTTCTCAAGGTATATGGCGTGACAAATTTACTGGAAACGGGTTTCATTTTTATATACTAACTAGCAACCCGTCCCAGCTTCGCACAGGTTCAATATGCATATATTATACATATAAACCTTCCTTAAAAATCACTACCTATCTATTTAAAAAAACCGCATCAAAATCCCTTGCGTAGTTTTAAAGATCTAAGCATACATAGGGATAGACAGACGGGGCGGATAGCAAATTTGATACATTTTTAATCGACTTCAAAAAAAGGAGGAGGTTCTTAATTCGAACGTATATATGCTTTTGGTTTACAGTTTTCGTAATTTCGTCTACTGAAACGTTGATGATCTTTTTTATGAAAATACCTAAGTGTTTTAGTCTAGTCTTTTATCAATATATATAAAATTCAAAGGTGATTGACTGACTGACTGATTGACTGACTGACATAGTGATCTATCAACGCACAGCCCAAACCGCTGGACAGATTGGGCTAAAATTTGGCATACAGATAGATGTTATGACGTAGGCATTCGCTAAGAAAGGATTTTGATAATTTCCACCCCCAAGGGGGTAAAAAAGGGGATGAAAGTTTGTATGAGACTTTGTCAGTTTTAAACCGATCGGGTTGTAATTTGGCATGCAGATAGATGTTATGACGTAAGCATCCGCTGTGAAAGGATTTTGATAATTTCCACCCCCAAGGGGGTAAAAAAGGGGATGAAAGTTTGTATGAGACTTTGTCAGTTTTAAACCGATCGGGTTGTAATTTGGCATGCAGATAGATGTTATGACGTAAGCATCCGATATGAAAGGATTTTGATAATTTCCACCCCCAATGGGGGTAAAATAGGGGATGAAAGTTTGTATGAGACTTTGTCAGTTTTAAACCGATCGGGTTGTAATTTGGCATGCAGATAGATGTTATGACGTAAGCATCCGATGTGAAAGGATTTTGATAATTTCCACCCCCAATGGGGGTAAAATAGGGGATGAAAGTTTGTATGAGACTTTGTCAGTTTTAAACCGATCGGGTTGTAATTTGGCATGCAGATAGATGTTATGACGTAAGCATCCGATGTGAAAGGATTTTGATAATTTCCACCCCCAATGGGGGTAAAATAGGGGATGAAAGTTTGTATGAGACTTTGTCAGTTTTAAACCGATCGGGTTGTAATTTGGCATGCAGATAGATGTTATGACGTAAGCATCCGATGTGAAAGGATTTTGATAATTTCCACCCCCAATGGGGGTAAAATAGGGGATGAAAGTTTGTATGAGACTTTGTCAGTTTTAAACCGATCGGGTTGTAATTTGGCATGCAGATAGATGTTATGACGTAAGCATCCGATGTGAAAGGATTTTGATAATTTCCACCCCCAATGGGGGTAAAATAGGGGATGAAAGTTTGTATGAGACTTTGTCAGTTTTAAACCGATCGGGTTGTAATTTGGCATGCAGATAGATGTTATGACGTAAGCATCCGATGTGAAAGGATTTTGATAATTTCCACCCCCAATGGGGGTAAAATAGGGGATGAAAGTTTGTATGAGACTTTGTCAGTTTTAAACCGATCGGGTTGTAATTTGGCATGCAGATAGATGTTATGACGTAAGCATCCGATGTGAAAGGATTTTGATAATTTCCACCCCCAATGGGGGTAAAATAGGGGATGAAAGTTTGTATGAGACTTTGTCAGTTTTAAACCGATCGGGTTGTAATTTGGCATGCAGATAGATGTTATGACGTAAGCATCCGATATGAAAGGATTTTGATAATTTCCACCCCCAAGTGGGTAAAATAGGGGATGAAAGTTTATATGAGCCTTTGTCAGTTTTAAACCGATCGGGTTGTAATTTGGCATGCAGATAGATGTTACGACGTAGGCGTCCGCTGTGAAAGGATTTTGATAATTTCCACCCCCAAGTGGGTAAAATAGGGGATGAAAGTTTATATGAGCCTTTGTCAGTTTTAAACCGATCAGGTTGAAATTTGGCATGCAGATAGATGTTATGACGTAAGCATCCGCTTTGAAAGGATTTTGATAATTTCCACCAAGGGGGTAAAATAGGGGATGAACGTTTGTGTGAGGCTTTGTCAGTTTTACACCGATCGGGTTGAAATTCGGCGTGCAGATGGATATTATGACGTAAACGTCCCTTTAGAAAGGTTTTTGAACATTCTCACCCCAAAGTATGATACTTTGCCAGTTTTAAATTGATCGGGCTGAGACTTTGCATGCATAAAGTTACTATGACATAGGTATCTCTTTAGAAAGGATTTTGATAAATTCCACCCCTAAGGGGATAAAATAGGGAATGAGAGTTTGTATAAATCTTCTTAGCCGTTGAATTTAGAATCATTGAATCTTTTTGAATTACATTCGGTAAAACGATGATTTGGGACCTGGGTAACGTATGATAGTTTTTTCACAGATGTCTCACGAGAACGGGAACTATGCGTCAATGCCCCAGGACTCTCTAACTCTTAACCACTGAACTTATTCTAGAGAGATTCGGTACAACAATAGTCGATAGAATAGTTTTTATTACTCAAACCTTACGTGATCGGGCACTGTACTGGTAAGATCCCTGCGGGATTATTTATTTATTGAAACTACGATAAATCATTTCAAAATAGGTAAATCTTACTTGGGCACTGAATTGATTCTGGTTAATTCTGTCAGAAGTCATTAATCTACGCGGACGAAGTCGCGGGCAACAGCTATCTACACATATAATAAATCGTAGAAAAGTCAAAACTGTACATTGAATATTTTTTAAAAGAATATTTGAAGCGTGATCTCTAATCGATACCGAAGCCAATAATGTGGTTTTTAGAATTTTTGTCTGTTTGTCTGTATGTATGGCCGTGATGATCTCAAAAAGTACTGCACTACTATTTCAAATTTTGCATGAATATTACTAACAAGTCTGGTAAACATATAGGCTACATATTATCACGCTATCATCTACGGGACTGAATCAATACTGACGACATCCATTACCGTAGAATATCCCTTGATAAAAACTAATTCAAAAGCCTAAATTCTACCAGAAGTCATTATTCTACGCGGACGAAGTCGCGGGCAACAGCTAGTGTTTACATAAAACTAATAATAGTAGGTTAGTCATTGTTATCTAAACTATATCTATAACTAAGCTACATATTCGCAAAACAACCAAATTTTCCGAGCCAAATCCATATTAGACACATTATTAAAACTCCATGAGACATGTTAACAACTGCTTCCTAATTTTATCATGGTTGATATAATACCTTTAAATATTTAGTCAAATACATTATTTATCTGACAGATTCAAGAGATGCATGTGGATTTTCTACCTTATGGGACGACACGACCTTACTTAACTGTTCAAAGAGGGCGTTAATTTAATAGATACCAAAAGGAAATATTTGGAACTATTTCATGAAAATAAAGAACCCTAGAGCTTATATGAACAGATGTATGGGCGTGTGGTAGTAGCTAAAGAAGTGTGTAATCACTTAGTGATTTCTACCTGTCCTCATTAGGTAAAACGTCGTGTATTTAAAAACGCATACAACAACAACAACATCAACAGCCTATAAGTAGCCACAGCTGACCAAAGGCTTCTTCACACATGGTGAAGGTTTCAGCATTAATCGCCACGGTAGCTCGGTTTGGCCGTTTCAAACTTGTAAATAGAAATTATAAGCCCAGATTTCTGCACGATGTTTTCCGTCACCGTTTTTCAGTAGTGTCTAAATAATAGAAAGAAAGTACATACATATAACTCGGAAAAAGTTGGTATTTGCTGTTGGTAGCTTTTAAACCATCGCCCTCATGCATGAGAAAAGGGCGTCATAAACCTGCACGACTCTTCCTAACGAAAAGCTAAACCTATAACTTTGCCAATTCCCAGTTATAAAAAAAAAAAAGTACCTTTGCCAATTCGGAGTCGCAGAGAACCTAACGGGTTACCGGGGCTCCGGCTCGAAGTGCAGGAGAAGGAACGGGGTGGTTTTTAATCAGTAAGAGAATTCGAAAAGGGGGGGAATTCGATGATTTCCCCCCCTTAAAAATACCTATACCTTTACCTAATATTAAATGCATTGTGCATGCTATGTCTTTGTTTTTATACAAATAACCTAGCTATACGAAGCTTGACTCTTTTAAGCACGTACGAGCTACGATCATTGTGGAAAAATAATATTCAAATCCACGTGTCCCTCACATCGGGGAAAAACGACAAGATGTTATAATATTTACGACAGAATTTTCCGAATACAAACGTGTACAGATTTACGTGTACAATAGGTAAGTGTCCATACAAAATAAATATTGACACGAGTAGCATTCAACGATCAATCTTCATTAGTTTAGCTGTTGTAAGATTATCTTTTGCGCAATTAACAAATAGGTAAGTACATGAGAAACAATAGCACTTATAGATAAATTCTATACATCAATTGCCTACACGTTTAAACATTGGAAAGAGTTTTTCTTTTTTAACTAAAAACCGCGGGTGACTCACGTGAACATACTGAGAAAAGCTCTACTAGTTTCGAACCTCAGAGGGGTTCTTCCTTATGAGCAGCGTTCGCGGTCGCGGCGATGTCGCGCAGCCTACACTTTTTATTATTATATACTATTGTGTATATAATATATTATTATTAAAACAAGGTATTTCTTTTGGTTTATTAGTCTTTACATGGAGTATCAAAGAATTGTTTAATGATTTACTTAAATAAGGTCATTTGATGACGTTGAATCGATGATCGATGATGCAGGAATATCAAAAAATATTCAAGAATCTATGAATACTCAAAAACAATTTATTTGATGATGCTGAATTGGTGCACTATCGTTGATTGATGATACAGATATGGCACGTGATTGATCGACTCGTGTATTATTCATATATTTTTACAATATCAATGACACAGAACTCGATAGTTAAAATAGTAGTTAGAAGACAAGCATCGTGACTTGTCACGTTAGGCTCTCCAGAATATGCTATCAGCGGGTCCTAATTACTCTGTTCACGCCCAAAGACAGCCAGATAACAGCGAGAAACTGATTGTAGTGGGAAAAATGGAGGGAAAAAGACCACGTGGTCTATCATCTACCCGTTTGGTGTGACCAGATCAAGACAATAACGGAACTTACTATTACTACTGTTTTAAGTCGAGTTGAAGACGTAATAGTATGAAAGAACCTCGTCAATGACTCTATTCAGGCGTCACGAGACGAACACGTTACACGAGCTTCAGCAATGAAGGCAATGAAAAAGAAGACGATCCAAGTTCTAAGATCTTTTAAGCCACGTGAGTGAGGTTACCGGATGCTCAATTCCGGTGATTGGGGAGGGCTACAATCACTCCTATCCTCAAATTCCTAACCCCTAAAAGGCTGGCAACTCACTTGTAACTCCTCTGGTGTTTTGGGTGTCTATGGACGACGCTGATTGCTTGCCATCAGGTGACCTGTCTGCCGTGTATACTATAAAAACGTTGAAAACCCCCTGGACATCTAAGCAACAGTACCACTGGTCACATAGCCCCGTTTGTCATTGAAAATCATTATGACGAAGGAAATTCATACAGATAAAGCTAATTAGCAGATTAATAAAGACAAATAATGCAGAATGTCGGCGACGGAAATTATGATGTCAAAAGGACATATTTTCGCTTAAACGTTTACATGTTTTAGAATGGATTAATGATGGTGTTTTAAGGCATTAATGATGGCTTAACTTAGCGTTACGTCATGGCTTTTATTAGTTTTAATACCTGAAGGGATAGATAGACAGATTTAGAAGTGCACATATGATTACGTAGGTAACTATGCAGGGGCGTAGCTAGCGCCATATCTGCCGTATCAATTATACGGGGCCCCCGGACTACAGGGGCCCCTACCGGAACTACCGGAACTTCCCAATTTTTATTTCAGTAATCGCAAAATAAAATAAACGATTTTTTCCCGCGTAAATGCGTTCAAAGGTTAGCAGAAACTTGAAAAAAATAAAGGTTATTAAGATTTTCGGTTTTCACAAAAATTATAAGTATTTTATGTAAAAAAAAATCTGTCGTGAGAAATATTTATCGTTCAAGGGCCCCTAAACAAATTTTAATACGGGGCCCCCCCAAGGCACGTAACTGTAACTATGTTTTTTTTTTTAATTAATGTACATACTATGTACTATGTAACTCGAGTTGTTTATGTATGAGTACTATGTGACACGTCGTCTTCATGAGCTACGAGGCCTATGTAATACTAGGTCATATACTTTTAACTAATTTTTGATTGAATAGAAAACTGTTGAAGACAATTTCGCCAACGTCGGTCATCAGTGACCCTCGAAGTCGATTAGCGTGTTATTTTAGCTTGTACATTGATGCAATCATGTTCATTGTCATCTTAATCTATTTGAATAGTAATTGTAATTTGTTAATACATAGATATTTTAATGTTAAGTATTAATAACAAACCGTTACGTTATTAGACAATGGAAAATTAATTTGAACTTTTGCTTCAGTTGTCAGAATTTTAAATTTCTACTGAGTAATCTTGCCATAAATTTATTGGTAATTAATTACTTGAAATAAAATTAAATTTTTCAGCGCATTATACTTACGTATTTTTATGTTTTTCTGAACTTTCACTTAATTGTTTAAAATTATAGTATGTTCGAAATTCAGATTTTTAAAAAAATCGTTAAAAAGTAAAAATATGACTGAGCCTCCCAGAAAAACTTCATAAAATAAAATGAACAAACCTGTTTCCAGAACGGCGAAAACCTCTCCTTCTTCTGCTTCTGTAGTTCACCCATTTTTTTTAATTGTCTTTAAATTAAAACCCAATCACTTTCACAAAATTAGTGCTGAAATTATCGTAATGTTCATTATAAGCACACACGTTCACTACACTGCACAGACGGACAAAGGTATGACTTATCGAGTAATCGAAGTGATATTAGGTGATACTTAATGATTAGATAAATCTCATAATTGTTAATGAGACGATGTTACTGCCAGGCAGACTGAACTACAACTGAATGTCACGACACCGTATGATCGAAGTTACCTTCAGCCCACGATGGAGACAATGGGCCCTATTTCATTCGGAAACGCACCATTTAAAGCATTCATGAGGTTTTTTTCTATTGGCCACCATGTTTTCTGGTGTTAAGCAATGACTACAATGGAGTTTACCTGCCTATGGCCTTGAAGACTCCTGGGGTAAGATGGATATAGATTCAGGTACAGAAATGTATCTTAACTTAATGACAAAACTTCAGGCGCAACGCTTCGTGCGTGTGGGTGAGATATCCACCATGAAGCGGTCCATAGAAATAGACTAGAACAGTGTTTTTTTTTTAAAGGGCTATGTCTCTTGGAGACTACGTCGTCCTAGACTAGAACACGCAGATGAGCCATGGGCACTGATGCAACATATTGTTTTAGACTTGGCGACCGGCGACGCACTAGTGATTTGTGCTTGGTGTTGTAAATGTACAAATAAATAAAGGCTTATTTATCAGATATTATTATTATTCAGAACATGCAAATACATGGTAACTAAGAACTAGTATTGTTCTCTAATTTGTTGTTTGCTTATATTTTGCATATCCGTTTGCCAATCGGCAAAGGCCTCCTCCAACGTTTTCCATTCCCGTCTTTCTTGGGCCGCTCTGTTCCACATAACTCCCGCTTGCCTGATGTCATCATCCCACCTTTTCAGTTGTAAACATAATCAGGCTAAAGTGTTAGCTATGCTATCAGCGGGTCCGTAAATTTAATTGCTACTTTATGGCATATTAATGACTTCAATGAACATGTCTTTAAAAATTTATATAGTGCAGCGACTAAACTATAACAAACAAGGATTTAGATTAATTTTTCGGTATTGATATCTCAGGATTAGAACTTACAGAAAAGCTTTCTAACTTTGAGATATTACACTGATATTATAAATGTCTAAGTTTCTTTGTTTAGAACTGAATCCGTAATTCACGGTGAAACTACTGAACGAATTATGATGAAATAGGGTTTCGAGTTCTACCTAAGTGGTAGACAAACAAACAATTAATAATTTACTTATTCATTGAGTATTTTAAAGTTCAGTCTCTTCGGTTGGCTACGAGGGTAAATAACAGTGCAGAGACGTTGTTGGGTTCGAAGTTATTGAGAAGATAAGTTATTAAAATTTGCACGCGCGTGGATATTCAGTTTCAGGAACAAAATGAAGTTAGATACACAATATTTTTTATAAATACAAAAAGCAAAGAAAATAGGACTTTGCATTGAATTATTGAACACCAAAAATCTGTTTTGCTATAAAAGATAGACTTTTATGATGTAATGAATCAATACTGTTGGCTGCACATTAAAATAACACGTGTTTGACTGAGCAGTTAGAGCGGTACGGTATCTACCATACCAAAACAATGTCATAATATAAATACTCTGACTGAAGGAAGGAAGTAAGCTTTCAGCTATGAATTTCTGTGAACTCTGTAATGAACAATTTGAATATGGCTAAACAATAGTGTTTTATTTAGGTCTCTTGGAACATACGACGCGGCGGCGGCGCGTGAAATTTTTCCCATAGAAATGAACAAACCAGTTCTATTTTTAACCGGACCCTAAGTTTCTTACTTCGTTACTAGATGGCGCTGTGCAATGACGTCATATTTGTGAATCGCGGTGTTAAGATTCTCCGGCGTTGAACGACCCTCGCGGTTCGCCGTCCGAAATTCATACTTACCTGGCGTAGGGGACACCGTGATCATGAAGGCGGTTCCCCCAGGGCGAGGTCCTATCATTGCACTGCGATAGGGTTGACCCCTGCGATTATCCCTAATGTGGATAACTCGGACGCGTTATTTTTGGTAGTGGGGACTGCGTACGCGCCGTCCCCTAAGAATTATAGAAAATGAATACATCATGGTGAGTGTTGTTTGATTGTTTGTAGTATTAGTAATTAATATGATGGACGATTAGTGCTATAGTCAGGATAATGTTACTATATCCTTCAGTCGAAGTTAATTCATACTGTACGTTGATTTAGTTCCTCATAATAATTACCGCTTGGAGTGATGGTAAATATGTCTTTTGTTATTTCACAGTCTCGTAGACTCGATGACACAAAAATTTACTGCTCTGTTGTCTGAATAACATATTGATAAAAAAATATAATATAGTATGATGAAGAAATTCTGTGACTTTCCCTATTTTGTCATTGTAAATGTCTACCAGTCAATTTATTTTATAGCATGTTTACCGTTCAAGTAAAATTTTAGGGCGTCAATAAAAATCCATGATATTCGTAAAATAAAGATAAGTCAGACCCAGTCAGTCAACAAATAACCGTATTTATTGATAAAGTTCATTGATTTTTGAAGTTTGTAATGTCCTTCATTATTTATTTGTTTGTTGGGTCGTTTACATTCGGAAAATACATGGCTAATACATTTTTGTCATGTCAACAAAATTAATTTGTTTATAATATATTATTCTAAGAAATTACGACAGAGTAGGTATCGGCAGATTTGCAGAAGCCTAATTTATCAAAAAACGTGATAGATTTGATGATTGCCAATTTAGATTACTGTGTTTAGTTTCATTTCGATATCTTTTATGTTGCACAAGTCCAAAGCCAGCCTCACAAAACAGTATCATAAATTAAATTGTCGTAAAATGTGGAAATTCAAATCTCATTGAGTAGGTTGGTAATAGGTATACGTCATATAAGAGAAGTTATTTATTTGTTATCACTACCGATATTCAGGTGTAAAGAATCACGATATGAAATAATTATCTGTTGCTAACTACGATATAACAATAATCTATGATTAATTTATTTTACTGCAGTAAAATTTGATGACGACACCTCAATCATTGGTGTGTTTTTGAGGTAGGGTGTGATTGTACCTTAGGTAATGCCACGTCATCGCGTGTTTACGAATAATTAAATATTATCATTCTGTCACTAAGCTATCAAATCGAATTGAATAAAATCTCTTTCTTATCTTTGTAGGAAATCATCTGTGACACGCTGATATTTATTGTGATCGGTTTTTATACCTTTTAGACTGTGTAGAAGGTTTGTTCTTCTACGTTGGACATTTATTTTCTAACAATGGATTATGTGATGTAAAGATTATGTTTACCTACAAGGAAACTTGTTTATTACTTAATGCCACTGTACAATGTAACACCCACTTTTCACTATTTATGTTATGAGTCCCATGTAATAGGGGGTGAGCTATTGCCATATACCGGAAACGATTCCAGACTCCGTGCTACTACAGAGAATTTTTTTATAAGCCTAGTAATCTAGTAATCTTGCCCGACCCGGCAATCAAACCCGAGACCCCTTGCCCGGCAGTCGCACTTGCGACCACTCGGCGAATAAGGCAGTTGTTACACTAAAATGTTATTTATTAGATAGGTAATACTTTATCCTAATTAAGTAATTTAATACATATCAAATGAAAGGAAACGAGTCGAAGACTGTTTAAGTACTATGTGGCATTTTATAAAGTCCGCGACCAAAGTGGGACAATGGCGAGAGGTTGTATGTGTATAGAGATTATACACTTATACAGTATAGCATTAAACAATTCTTAGAGCTCCATATAAATATAGAATTGATGTGATTTAGGGTAGATGACTAATGTAAAACTTAATTCAGATTTATCATGCCCTGTATCTACCACTGAGAGAAAGTACCTCCTCAGGCATAAATCCGCATAAATAAATAAACTAACTCTAATGACTTTGAAGTAAAGAGATGGTTTTGTTGCATGTTTGGTTCTATTAATGTCACAAACTCATTTTTTTTAAATGAAATGCAGTAACCAAACCTATTGAGCAATAATACTATGAACAGTATAACATTGCTCTGATAATTATGACAGGCGCTTTATACAAATTAGACTTGTAAATTAAGAATTCAAATAATTCTTATACTCTTGTAATATTTTAGCACAAAAAACTGAGTATAAATATTTTTAAGTATAAGTACAAAAGTAAAATAACTGATACCTAAAGATACTTTCTACTTAGTTATATTCTTGATGTACATACTAATCCTAAGCACTGCTTTATTCACCTTGCTACCTACATATACGTCTGTCCTAAGTCCTAACTAGCTACATATTGTTATGTTAACAATATAAAAGACCTAGGTCATGTGTTTTAGAGCAGAACTTACAAGTTGAAAGATGAACTAGACTGCAAATAGTGCCTATAATTGTGTTTACATTTTGAGGCATTAACAGAGTGCATGATAGGTGTTAACTCTAGCATTTGCATTAAAATTAAGGTTTTAGTTTTTATTGACCTCTTGTTGCATGTAATTTGAACTATAATTCGCTTGGTGTATTGCTGTGTTTGGAAATATTTGTGATAAATAAAACAATTTCAATTATATTACTTCATATATTTTTCTTTTTACATACTTAACACTAAAATTAGGAACACATTTAGACATAATTCAACAAAGGATAATCAGATCATGTGCTGACAAAATAAATAAATTAATCAGTCTTAAACTTAATATCATAATCTAGATTCTCGTGATGTGTACTGGTACAGTTGATGCATATCTACAATCTCACAGTTAATCGACTTCTTCCACAGTTGGCCCACTACGATGCTGGTAGCCTCCAAATCCACCAGGCATTCCACCGGGCATACCACCGGGCATACCGCCAGGCATACCTCCTGGCATACCTCCAGGCATACCTCCAGGCATGCCACCACGCATACCGCCTGCATTCTGTGTGCCTGCGCCCGCCCCATGCATCTTGGCCATGACGGGCGAGCAGACGCGCTGCACGTCCTTCAGCTTGTGCTCGTACTCCTCCTGCTCAGCCAGCGTGTTGTTGTCGAGCCACTTGAGCGCGTCGTCGCACGCGTCTCTCGCCGTGCTCTTGTCCTGTTCCGTGAGCTTGTCTCCGGCCTCGTCCAACGCCTGTTTCACGCTGAACACGTACGACTCGAGCTGGTTTCGAGACGCTACGC